TTTTTCACAGACAGGCAGCAAAATTTCAGCCCCTGGAGGGGCCCTGTGAGCTCAGCAGCTTGAAACAAGCTCATTTCCTTGCTGCTTTTCCATCTTTCATAATTGTGAGGGTGAAACCAAAGCATTTCCCACGCAGCCCGGGCAGGCGCCTGTCGGTGCTCGCACCAGCATCCTCAGCCGCAGCCAAACCCTGCCCCGCACGAGCCTCCCCTCTGCTCGCCGCCAGGGAACCAGACTCGCCCCATGGCTGGTTATGGTTGAATTTCAAGACGGTAAGTTGCTTGAGTGTGTGTCTGACACGCTTAAAGGCAGGACTGGAACGGGTTAAAAAACAGATTGGGCCAAACGCATACCACTGCTGGCCAGTCCCATCAATGGCAAAATCAGATTACAAAAACCTTGCGGCGCTGCTGGTGGCCATTACCCCCTCCTAATAAGTAAGTTTGTTGTTGTTGTTATTAAGATTTAAAAGCTCATGCATGGAAATTCTGTGTAAAAGAGGGTGCCCGTCTGCCCCTCCAAGTCTGTCATATCCCGTGAACAGGCTGGCTGGCGGGAAAGGTCGGTGCCGACTGTGTTGTTCAGGGCACAGCACGCAGCCCTAACGTGGTTGTTGGAGAAGTCCTGTCTCTCTTGCAGCAATGGTACACCAGCTCGATGAATGTTGTCTGCACCTGGCTGACAGACCGCATGGACCTGCAGCTTCACATTTACCAACTGAAAACTCTCATTAGGATAGTAAAGGTAATCATCTGATGTGTTTTCGATACCATCTTGCTATCGGAAGGAGCGTGTGTGTATGCCTGCATGTGTGCGGCATGTTCTCTCAGGCAAACTGTCACCGGCAAACAAATTAAGCCATTCGTTAAAATTCTTAAAAATTAAGATAGTTGTGTGTATGGCACATAGAGAAGGGTAAACAGGAACTCGAAATGCATATAGATGCGAAATACAGGTGTGCAAATAAGAACAAGGTAACTGGTTGCATGAAAAAAGCAAAACTCTACTGCTATTCGACCCTACCTTTACAGTAAGTGCACCAAAATCAGCCTTTTTGTGCACAATGTTGATCACACCAATGAACTCCAGTGTTAAAATGGGTTAAATCAAACCGAAAGTTTTTAACACTGTTTTGCTAGAAACATTTAAGCCCGGCTATGGCTTGTGATTATCGTCAGAATGCAAATGAGGATTGTTCTCATAGTTAAGTGAAGTTGTTTCTTTTACAATGGGTGTATATAATCAACTCTAAGAGATCACAAAGGTGAGATAACATACCCTGAAAGTAACATTTTTTTCCTTGAGTGCACGTGTATGTGTATATGTGTGTGTGTGTGCGTGCCGTGGACTAATGATAATTATTTCAGTGTGAAATCGCAGTGGTTTACATGAAATAATAAGATCACAGAAGGGGGTAAATATATTTTTGATCATTTTAGGTTCTATCTAATGCTTTTTGGTCTAGTATTTTATAATGTTTATGGTCTTGTGTGCAGTGAACACATTGAAGGCATGAATAAATTAAAACTGAAATGTATTAAATGTGCTTTTCATAAGTGAAAACAACAGGCACAGACAAATTATTTCTACTTGTCAGCTAGCTGAGGAAAGCTTTCTTTCTTGTGCTTTATTTATACCAATATTACATTCAGAATCAGTGACAACAAATCCAAGGACTTTTAGCAGAACAGTAAATAGTTTCCACGCAGAGCACAGAACAGAATTAAATGAACTACGAGGCCAGAGTTATATCTCACAGAATCAAGAAGTTTTTAAACATAAATTTAAATGAGAGATGTTAATCATAATAACAAGGGAAATATAGCTAACTATGGAAATACAACCCCAGTTTCAAAATCAGGTGAAGAAAGAGAGATTTAAGAAACACATGCCGTATGCTTATGTTTATATATCAACAATTTTCCCTGGTATCCTGGACTTAGCTTATTTAATCCCAATACTGTGGGTAGGATTATTTAATACAGAGTATTCCAGGAACGTGTAATCACATCTGCAGTTATGGGCAATAAGCATTCTACTGCATGGAGAAAAATAACTGACATTACAGGCAGAGGAATGCATCCAGAAACCAGTGAGGTTGGCTGGAGCAGAGCCCTCCTCTGTTGCTTCGATGTCTTTCTAGACCCCAGCCTACCACAGGCGAAGCTCCCCTGAGCAGCCCCCAGTCCACCCCTGCTTTGAAGCCTGCAGGCAGCCACACAGCCCAGGCACGCTGCGGGCCCTGCAAAGGCAGGGCTGGAGTCGCAGAGCCGTAATTTGTTGCTCAAGGCACCCTAAAGGGACCTCTGCCACTGCCTCTGCGCTGCCCCGGGCAATGCGAAACGTCCCTGGGGCTGGGATTTTCCCGGCATGCCAGCCTCTTCCCTGAGTGGGCTCAGACCCCGGGCATGGGGGCACGGGCTCGCTCCTGCAGCAAAGCAGGGCAGCGGTGCTGGCCCTGACCTCTGTGCTGTCTCTTCCTTCCTCCGTGTCTCTCCCTGCTTCAGAAAACGTACCGGGATTTCCGACTGCAAGGCGTGCTGGATTCCACCTTAAACAGCAAAACCTACGAGACCATCCGGAACCGGCTGACGGTAGAGGAGGCCACGGCATCGGTCAGCGAAGGCGGAGGGCTCCAGGGGATCACCATGAAGGACAGCGATGAGGAAGATGAAGAGGACGACTAGGGAAGCTGGCCCGGAGGACCGGCTGGGGGTCGCCTGGTATCCATGCATGTACCTCGTCTGTAACTCAGTTAGCCACATTAGGAATTTTTATGTCAGCTCTAAATGCCCATGAGAAGTTTACCAATACAAATGCCATGTTAGCTGTGTGGTAATAAGATTAGCACCTCTCTTTGATTCATCGGTTTCCTAATTTCATATCTATATGTTCATAAGCAATATGGAGCACCATCGTTTAATACTGTTAATGGAAAAACTACATAGAAAACATGCTAGGTGTGTCCCTGTTATAATTAAAGTTTAAACAATGCTTCATTAATGTACTGTATATACATTGATGGTAAATTGTTGTGAAGATGAGTGAATCGAGTCCTTTCATTTCTTTGTTTCTCTTCTGTGGATGCCAACTGCTTAAAATTAATAAAAAAACAGCTTTGTTTTTAAAAGAAGAATGAGGCAATTACAAATGATTTTTTTGTTCTCTCTGTTCATTTAAAAACCAGAAAACAAACAAACCCAGACAGCCGTTTGAATCATTCTGCATCCTTGTTAATGTACCAGGCTCTTCCCTTCAATATGCAGTTAACTCCATAGAGGCTACATCCCAAAGGATTAGTCATTCTAATTGCCACACCAGATTAATCCTATCATTATGGATATATCATGCCACATTACAAGTCCAAAGCAGTTGTTTTATGTTGACGTTTGCTCCTCTAAATGTTACATTTTTGTTTAAATTTCAAATAACCATGTATGTACAAAGACAACTTTAATTACAATCTTAGACTATACAAATGTGTTTATAATAATATATTGAATATTTATTTCGGTAGATTGTAACCATAATTTACAATTCCTCTGTTTCACAATGGTTTTTATATATGTCATGTACGTTGCATTTTGACCAGTAACTGCATGTCCATCAGTTCCCTCCTCCAGAGCTTTTACTTTCTGTGTAAAATAGTGATCCATCTTGCTTTTTTTGCCTTATACAAGCCGACAGTTGTAAAAGTGTGAGAACTGTGGCTTCTCAATAAATAACTATTCAGATGTCCTAAGAATAAATTATGGAGTCTTTTTATGTCTGCCTTAGAAAAAAAAAATAAATTACAAGCTGAGATGTAAGAGCCCCCACCTCTCAGAATAAAGGCATTTTCTTTTCTCATGGGTGTTTTTACAGTTTATTAATTAAGAAGATGGTTTCCTGATTTGCTCCCAAAGGTCAGGGTGGGACCAGATTGTATATTCCCCAGGACATTTCTGCTGTCACCTCCGCAGTTCTTTCCACCATTATCTACTCTCTATGCCCTATGATTTGTCTCTGGACATCTAATTGATGGTCTGCTCTGGTACAGCCCCTGTCGTTACGTGGGAATCGGCCTTGCGTGACACTTACTTTCCACCAAAAGGCCTCAGTTTCTATTTTAACTTCTCCCAAAGCAGCAGATCGCAGCAGCCTGTGGGGCACGTACAAACACACGGCACCTCGCTGAAATTAAAAAGCAGGTTGGTTTGAAGGAAAGCATGTTAGGTTGGGAGTTTTCTGAGAGCTTTTGCAGTCACTCCCTCCCATTGGCCAAGTCAAACCAAAAATGACTCCTGCTAGCCCGGGTTTAAGTCATTTGAGAGAGAAGCAGAAGAGCTGATGTCCTTTACCCCCATGCACAGCAACCTGTTGCCACCCTAGGGAATAAGGACAAATGTTCACCACTCACAAGCAAAAGATGGGCAAATATTGGAAAAAAGTCCTGCCTGGCATAATGAACTGTTAAACTAAACCATCTTCCAGTGCCCAAGAGCCAAGAGACACTCCCTGGACACATGGGAGGAGGAGGAGGGGACCTCTGGGAACAGCATGTGAAGGGGGTGTTGAGTCCCAAAGGGGGCTGGGATAGTTACAGAGCCTGGAGCACATTCACCTGCAATGCTGGATTTTTGGGTCCCTTCCCTCTGTGGCAGAGTTTAGCACCTGGCTCTGGAGGTGCTCTGCAGCCCCATCTGGATGGCCATACCCTACGCGTTCAACACTCACCTACCCGTGGTGACCTGCGGACACCACCCCCCCTTGGAACAGGGACATTAGCAGGGTCTTTACTTCAGGAGTGGGTGGTAGGCATGCGCACGTAGCACCATTTACGTGTTGATAAGCCATTTGATGCACTAGGATAGACAAATTTTGAACCCTGGCTGTAGGCCAGCAGACAACTCCTTGGTTTTTGTCTTGCTCCATGACACTGGTAAGAAGGAAGCATTGCCAGGAAAAGCCACCTCAGAGGACTTCAAAGGGAATATGGCCTTGTGGTCACTGACACAGTTAAGTCCTTTCCCCTTCTTACCGACCCTCCAGCTGTGCAAATAATTGGTCCTAAATCCCCAGAGGAACTGAGGTAGCTGTAGAGTGTTTAAGTCATACTGAGTCCACCAAAACTAGTTCCAATACCTCTGCAGGTCTGTCGCTGGGATGCATGCAAAAACCATCTATATTGTGACATCGTTATGCTTGGAGCCTTCAAGCACACCCTGAAGTCCTCACAGGACTTGCCTGACAAAATGAATCTCACAAGACAGAATGAACAAACCACAAGCACCACCTAGGTGGTTGAGATCCACTTGCGATCCACACACATATGGATGCACACATGTGCTCATGCCCTTTTCATCCTCTCCCTCAGCTGTCCCAAATATTTATATGAAGGGAAACAGCTCCCAGAAGAGGAACTGGGAAAGCCTTACATGGGGTGGTGACCATGCTGGGCACTGGGGGAGACCCAAATTTGTAGCTTTGCTCCCAGTCAGGCAGAACAGAGCTGGAGAAACAGCTTGATTCTGCTCTGGACCTAGCTGTCCTTTTTTTTTTTTTTTTAACATGAAATATTTATTGGGTAAAAACACAGCCCACTTCCACCTGCCACCTTTCAAAGCAGGGAGCCCTGCTCAGTTTTTTGAATGAAAGAGAGTGGGCACAGCCTGCAGGAGACGATCCTTGACTGTGTATCACTAACAAACATAGGTGCCTCCCTGAAACAGCAGTGATGGACACCTTTGTCTGAGTTTCTCTGTCATTAGCAATGACCCTATAGCCTGTGACAGCTTTTCACATGTCCTCAAACCCCAATAAAGCACCTCAGAGACTCCATAACAACCCTGAGGATATGTCAGGCTTGACCACACACTCGTAACAAGGAAGCATTGGCCAGCTTACTTCTTTTAAGGAGTTTGGACCCAAATGATGAGCTTCAAGTTACATACTTCAGTGTGAGTGGGGAGAAGAGCTCATGTACGAGCAACGCTGCAAAGCAGAATGTGACCTCCCACAGCCGGCAGCCTGAGGTTAAGCAAAGGAGCATGTTGTACCCTGATCCCCACTGCCCTGATCCCTGCAAATGGTTACGTGGGTGCTGGCAGCACGACTCTGTCCTATGTGGGTGCTGCACCGTGGTACGAGGAGTGGGAAGTGCCACCTTGGGTTAATCCTGCAGAAATACTGAATTGAAAGCGGTTTGGTTTTGTCTGAAAAATATAGATCTGGGTTTAAAGCCCTCCCGGCCACGGACTAAGCTTTGGACAGGACTCAGGCTCCTGCAGAGCAAAGCTACACCTCGAGCTGCATCTAAAAGGGCTTGCTGACGGACAGGAGCATGCTAGCAAACCCAGCCAAGGAATGCAAAGGTCTGCTGCTGGTTTCGCTTCAACCCATTGCTGCGATGGAATGAGCTCCAACAGTCAAAGGACTTTCTGCCAGTACAACTGCACCTAGATGAAGAATCTGCCAGTACAGTTATGTCAATCAGTTTTGGGAAAAGAGGAAAATTTCATTCTTCTGCCAGCAAAATTTTAAATGATAGATCAGGCCAAAACTTCTCTTGTATTTACAGGGAAGTCCAGCGAAAATATCCTTTTTTTGACAGACTTACTTAAAGCATGTGGCATGGAGACTGAAAATGCTATCAACTATTTGACTGACAAGTGTCAGCAGCTGTTCATCCAATTTGTTTTATATTTCAGCAACTAACAGATTCTTTCCCCTCTGCTGTAATGCATGTCTCCTGGCCCATGGGCATCTTAGAAATTGCTTTTCTGCCTCTCTACTGACCAAAACGTCAAAAATATTAGAAGACAATTTGTGTTCAGAAGCATAAACAGGCACGCAGCAAAGCAAAGATGATTTTGTCAACGTTCAGGCTGTGTTCTTTTTAAAAAAGTCACAGCAAACCTAAGGCAAAAATTACTTCTCTGAGCTTTAAAAGAAAAAGCTAAAGCCAACAAAGCGCCCCATAAATCAGCACAGGTTAAACCATCAACTACCAAGGGAAAAAGCAGTTGTCTAATGGACAACCAAAACGCAGCTGAGCCGTATTTCAACCTCTGCACTTTGTCTGTGAAGTTCGCGACTCTGCACTACCGCCACCGTCACCAATGTTTGTTCAAAAACCTGCTCCGCGGTGTCATGATTCAACAGAGCCACCGCTGTGTCAAGCTGAGTCCAGCTAGGACAGTCCCTTAAGCCGTTCACAAAAATCCAGCCTTCTTTATCTTAGGTCTAGCAATGCTTTCAGAAACTCTTTGATCCCTGACTGCATGTAAGTTACAATTATTGCAGTTGCCACCCATTCTGAACTTGCTGGGCTAAAAGCCTGCGTGACACCTCTCTCTGGTGGGCTGTATTCAGCCATATTTCCTTTATTCCAAGCACATTTAGGCTCTTGAGCTAAACCTGAAGTGATATTTTCTTCAGCCTTTCTGAAAGATGCATATTCCATTTCAAGTTGTAAATCTGCATTTGTTGTAACTATGCAAAATATGGGAGAAAAAAAGTGCAGAGATTATATGCAATCTGCCAGCAGAGTTGTGTGCCATGAGGAAAATGCCTCACAGGTCAAAACAAAGAAAAACACTGAGCAACAAATTAGTTGCAGGCAGTAGCTAATATGGAGATCAAAAGATTAAAATCAACATGCAACGATGAAATCACTGGAATAATAGGAGCACTTAAGAAGATTAAGTCAATAACAGAGTCCAGTAGTACAAAAATAAGATTTTGATTATACTGTAAAATTTGATATTGGGAGAGCAAAAGCAATTACAACCACGACATGCTTCGCTCTCCCCGCCTTAGACCATCTTGGCTCATTTCCTATGCAAGGAATACAGTTGTTGAAATAAACAGAAATGTTATGACTCGAGTGCTCGATTCAAAAACAAACCAGGTGGTCAGATCAGATTGGGGACTGACAAGACAGAGTCTGTAAAACGAGGACTTGTTGCAGATCCTGGAGGATACGACAGCTGGGGGGAACAAAGGCCACACCGTTTAGGACTGCTTTCAGCAGGGAGAGCTCCACAAGCAGCTGATCTCGGGGGGCTGTCCCAGGCTGTCAGCTGGAGAGGAGAGGCACGCACTGGAAGTGGAGGAAGGAGGAGAGAAATAGCTCAAAGGCTTGAAGTGAATGTGGTGGCAAACTCTGGAAACAGGGAAGGTTTTTTTTCTATCCAGCTGAAACAGCAAAAATTGCAGGTTTGCTCTTAAGATGTACATCAGAGGCAGAGCACACAGCAGCCTCCAAACCCATCTGGACCCTCATGTAAGGGACAAGAACATCTCCCATAGCCATGTTCACCGGTGCTGGGGGTCACCCAGCAGCACAGCCCAATGGGAACGGGAAGGACAACCTGCCGAGGGGCAGCGAATGCTCACCATGACAGATGTACCCTTGGTCAACCCAGGTGTGTAAGCAAGAAGAGATGAGCCAGTCCCTCCAACACCATGGCCATGGGACACCAGCCTCATCCACGGACTGCGGAGCCAAAGGTCTATAGCTCTCCCAGGGAGAAACGGTCACCCCATTGACAGCCTCCTCACCCGAGGAGTTTCAGAGCCCTCAGTGGGTTCTGCAATATGTTCTGCGTTTCATGAGGAAGAGCCCAAGCAGCTCGCCTGCTCCTCGGAGCGGATGACTTGCCTGGGCTTTTCTCTAAATTGTTTTTTTCAGCATCACTAACTCCAGCCCCACCCCCACCCCAAAATCACAAGCTAGGCTCATAATTAAATCAAATAAATAAATTATCAGCTATTTTTACAGAATTTGTGGGTGGTCTTGAACATTCAGGGAATACTTGGGTAGTGCATTGAAGATTTTTCCTACAATAACAAGATCCTGATTTTCA